TTAAATGATCCAGGAAGTATTAAAAGAAGATGGGAAGAATATACTGAGTCACTGTATCAAAAGGAATTGGCAGACACAGAAGAATTTCATGAAACAACATATGAGTAAGAGCTTATGATGATGAAAGAAGAATTTCAGGCTGCTTTGAAGGAAATGGCAAAAAATAAGGTTCCAGGAATAGATGTTATACCAGTTGACATATTTCAGCTAACAGATGCTGCCCAGGACGTGCTCACCAAGTTGTGCCAAGAAATCTGGAGAACAACCACTTGGCCCACTGACTGGAAGATAAAACTGAGTAAGTCTTAAAAATAAGTAGTGACAATGGAAATGTGAAGGAACTATTTGAAAAATATTAAAGAGAGTTCATAGGGACAAATAGTTGAAGATCTTGAGTATTTTTAAAATACAAATTGTCTTCTTGTTCACAGAATGTGAGGTGAATTTTGAGGAAACAAGACATACATGTATGTAAATGGTAATCTATAGGCAAACCAAAATTTGAAAAATCTATCAATTATGTAGAAATGAAGTCTTGAGTATTAAAAATATTTAATGCATGGAAACTCACTTTATGCTTCTTAATATTTGTACTTTTCCTTCCATATTCAAGTTGTCATACCTTAACTAAAAGCAAATTCTATTAAATAAGTGAGGAAATAATTAAGTATTGCTTTTTAGATATTATAAAAATATGCCTATCTCATATACTTATGACATTTTACATTTTTAAAAGTCACTTAAAGGTTTTGCTGCAAACAAAATAAACATTTTCTTCTAATGGGCAAATTTAAGCACATATTTCTGACGGTTACAAAATCCAACGAAACAAAATCCAAAGGCCATCATTATGAAAAATTACAGTTATAGGGACGGGGGGAAACTCCTTGGAATCCAAAACCAAAAAAGAGCACAAGGAAAAAAATTAATAGTCTTTTGGAAAGCCAACCTTTTAAATACTCCAATTGGAGAACTTTTAACTAAGAAATCAGCATTCCTCTGGCTCATTCAATGGTTTATTACTCATCTGTATTTTTTTATACTTACTAGTTTCTCAAAACCCCAAAGCCTGAGTTTTCCTTCACCATAAGGACCCAGTCTGCTTTGCCAGTGCAGATATCTAAAACAAAATTACTTTTCCACTTTTTTCTACATCTCCCTTCCCAAGTCAGGGAATTAAAGTGCTTCTCGAATAAATTTTTTTATGACACATCCTCTACTATTTACTTGAAACTAGTGCTCAAACAACTGAAATGGAATTTTTACAGATAGAGGAAGAGATAGTTCCTTTTAAAGTGTTACCTCCAATATGGATTGAGGCTCAATGTCAAGAAGACAAAGATTCTCACCACTGGACCAATTGGCAGGATCAGGAAGGGTGGTGAAGAGATTGAGATTTTTCACAGCTTTAGTTTGCTTGGCTCCACAGTCAACACTCTTGGTACCAGTAACCAGGAAATTAAAAGGCATATTGCCATGGGAAAGTCTACTGTTAGGGACCTCTCCAAAGTCTGGAAGAGCAATGGTGTCTCTCTGGAAACTAAGGTGCATCTGATACAGGCCATGGTCTTTGCTATCACTAGTTATGCATCAGAGAGTTGGACAATGACTCAGAAGGATAGAAGGAGAAACGGTGCCTTTGAACTGTGGTGCTGGAGAAGAGTATTGAGGGTACCATAGACTGCTAGGAAAACAAACAGATTCATGCTGGAGAGGGTGAAGCTGGGCTACTCCTTGGAGTCAAGGATTCTGAGGCTCCGTCTATCATACTTTGGACATGTTGTAAGGAGGGACCGGTCCTTGGAGAGGGACATCATGCTTGGGAGGGTGGAGGGACAGTGCAGGAGGAGAAGGCCCTCTATGAGGTGGATTGATTCAGTGACTGGGCTAATCGGGATGGGAAGGTCAGAGACAGTGTGATTGGCACAGGACAGAGCAGAGTTTAGGGCTATTTTACATAGCGTCGCTATGAATTGCAAGCGACTTGACGGCACATAACAACAATAACCAAGTGTTACTGAGAGGGGACTCATGAACTTTAGAGATGTTTAAAACACTATAAATGAAGGGCCTTACTGTTCTATATATATATTTAAAATCACGTGAACATAGAAAATATGCAGTTTACCTGCTACAATAACATCATTCTTGTACTCTGCTCAGTCTTGATTAATGATGGTATTTGAGTGACAGGCCACTGCAAATTTTCTATTAAAATGAATTGTGGTTTTGTTGTAATTAAATGGCATGATGTCCAATGTAACAGGTGGTGAATCTATGATCAGTAGATTGAAACCTTGTCCTTGGAGGTCTGACTCTTTTCCACTTTTCTAAGCAATTATGTTTTGTAGGACAAGACAGAATTGGCTTATGAGGCTTTAAAGGCTATCACCTGTAAGGAAGTAGACTGTCATATATTTCTCTTGAGCAGCAGCTGAGGGGTTTCTGTCCCAGAAAGCACTTAATCATTGTGCCAATAGGGTTCTTTAGGGAAGAGAATAGAAATTGAAATAATAAAAAATAACCAATCATGTTGTGAAATACAAGTCTATAATATGTGTTTCAGAACTTTTTTTCCAAGTGGATAATTAATTGAAATGATTATAGAGAAAACTCTACATTATCATCAGTAATGCAGACTAAAGATAAGTTTTACTTCTAAGATATTTCTTTATGGGATTTACAGGTTTTAATGAATAAGAGAAACACATTAAACAACAAAAAGTGAACACAGTGGTACATTTTTTGCTATGTTTTATTTTGCTATTAGCTTGTTAAATCTAACATGCAAATAATCAAAAAGAAACATAAACATTACTTAGAGTGAAAAATAATTCTAAGAAAATATCAGTAAGTAAGCATGTCAATTTTCAATATTAAAAATACTTTGTTAAACAAATATGGTTTCATAAATTTTGTAATATTTTGCAAAATTGTTGGTCTCCAAATATATCACCTATTTTTCAATGTAATTTGAATATATTAGGTGGGGTTTTTTTCAAGACAGAAAACATCTTTTGGTAGTTTGTGCATTTTGCTACATAAACATTTGGAGATTACAAAAATTGGCTGATTTTTATGAAGTCAATAAAAGAATGTACATAGGCATTTGATAAGAGCTATCTAAAAATACTAACAAAGGGGCAACTTTGTTGTCTATGTATCTGTATGTGTGCTTATTTGTGATGAAATAGGCCTGCTTTTCATCTTTTCTCTAGCAACTAATAAAATGTTTACAAAACATTTTCCCTAAAAATGTAAATTTCACAGAAGTAAAAAACATGAGAAAAAAGAATACTCTATAAATTGACACACACAAAAAATTATAAAGTGTTGCTCCCAGATGCACTTCAATGTAATTAGAATTTGCTGTTAGGTGCCATCGGGTCAGAACTGACTCATAGCTAACCCTCCGGTGGGTTTTCAGAGGCTATAAATTGCATGGGAGGAGACTGCCCATCTTTCTCCCACGTAATTGGAATTAGAAGACATTAATTCACGGCAATTTCATTTGCTACACGTAGACATTCATACATATCAGGTGGCAGACTCATTTGGGTGATGTGGTTGCCATCCAAGCGCAGATGTTTGATTTTGGAGAACGATTCAGGTCCCAGGATTTTACAGAAGCTCTTTACTTCAAACTCTGAAAAATAGAGTAAGGAGTTTTAGTCATCTTTTTAACTGTTCAAAATAGTTACACAAAATAGTTATCAAGTATATAATATTTATGAGGTATAATAGTCACTTGCATTATGTATCTTTGAATTGTGGACGATATTAAGCTAATAAAATATATTTTGCTTATTTTAAGCCAGTATAAAGCTTACAAGTAGGTAACAATACTTACTAAAAAAGCAGCTATGGTAGATTACAATAGTAAAATTTTTAGAGAAACATACTTTGTTGTAGTATTAAAAATTAATCTTAGAAGGGCATTAAATGTCTGATATTATGTAAGAATCCTGATATATTTAGTGGAGTTTAATGCTGGACAATCTTACCAATACCATCTTGGGTTTTGTTTCCTAAAATAAATCCTAGTATGTAGAGGATGTCTAAATAGTCATTCAGAAACAACACACCATGATAATGACAACTCTAAGGCAAAAATTGTATAGCATGTTAGTCATGTTCTTTCTTGATCAAGTTGCCACAGTGGAAAATGAAGACCTTCTCTGATGGCCTCATATATATCCACATAGAAACTTTCATTATTTGATCAGGTCTACTTCAGGTTAACTTTGCCTGATCTTCAGCTTGTTGCCATCTTCCATTCTCCACTTCAGGTTAAACAAGATCACAATGGAAGCGCCAATATTTTGTCTACTTTTCTTTCAAGATATTCTCTTAAATAACTCATCAATCTAATTTAATAATCTTTCGTTGTATACTAATCTCTGAGGTAGTATAGAATCATGAGAAAAAAACATATTTAGATAAATATTGCATAAAGGCTCTGACTTTATGGCACCTAGCAACAATAGCCAAGGATTGGAATTCCATCTCTGTTACTTCCTACCTATAAGACCTAAGAGATTACTGTTTCCTTTAGAGCGTTTTATGATAAGTAAATGGTTTAAAATATGTTAGGAATTTGTATAGGATTGAGCAGATAATATTAGTGGCTGTTGAGCTGACTCAACTCTTGAGGAACCCATGAGTGAATTACACAAATGTTACCAAAAGTTTTCATGGCTTTAACTAGCTTTCTTTTCCAGAGAAACTGTGTGTGTTCAAACCATCAACCCTTCAGCTCTTAGTCTAGTGCTTCGTCATTTGTGTCACCTAACTTTATTATTGTAGTTTGCACGTATTCTGTTTTCCATATTAATTTGTATGTGCAATAGTTGTGAATAGATCATAACATTAAAATATGATAAGCTGGGGCTTCAATTTTTCATTG